AGAGAGAGAGAGAGAGAAAGACAAAGGGAGACAGAAATTGATACGCGAGTTGAGATCAATACGAGGATGAGGGAAATTGATCTCGACCGAGGGTGATTTTCATGGCAGGCGGACTTATGAGAGCGAGTTATGTTAAGTATTTACAGATGTGTATTAGAAGCGAAGAGCGTTGTTCCACTTAATTTTGGATTAATTAAATTTCTTGATTTTGTAAATTTTAATCCTTCAATGACAATTTAAAAAAGATTTATATTGATTTCAACTGCTTTATTCCGAGAAAAAGCAATAACAAGAGCATTTGTAAAGTTATACAAAAAGATATAGCATTTATAAGAATAAGAAGATAAGAAAATTATCTGCGTGTTTGTATGTTAAATGGAATTATGATAATACTCTCACACAGTCATTCTTCAACAGATATGCATGAAGAAACGCTCACAAATGACGACCGAGTAGTACTGATTACACACAGCAAGATTATGTCATTTCCGATAGAAACCCAAGGACGTTGTCATTATACCGCGCTTGATTTCTCTTGGCTCTCTTTCGGACGAATTTCCGAACTTCTGGGAAAAACTGGGATTTTCGCACAGAAAATCATGCCGACGAGGGCGTGCTTTCCGGAATCGGATAATTCGAGAAACACGCCTCTCGCAGGTTCGGGAAAAAAAAACATGTCCAAGAGAGCTTCGATTAATCACGTTTTCCTATTTGCGGAGCTTTACGAAACGGATTGCCAGTGTACATAGCATATAAGCGTGGGACGAATTGCGGGAACCGATTAATTCTTCCCAGCGGATGAAGTACATACGAAGCAGCATTTTCATCACGAGCCTGCAATTTCTGTTCTATTCCTGTCTTTCTGCGTCGCTTGCTTACACCGAATTGTCTATGCGCATGAATTGTCGCAAAAGTTTGCGCACGCTTGAGAGTAAAATAATTATTTCAATGCCTTAAATTTGAATAGTAATAATCTAATATTATTTTTTTCTCATTATGATCAAAATATAAGAAAAAGATTGAAGATTGCGTTAGTTATTTGATTCTTTTCTTGAATCTTTTCCTATATATTTGTAGTCTGGTGTTCTTATACATCTTGCGATATTATAATACGAATTTAATAAAGCCAAGTCATCGTTATTTCGCTATTTTCTTGAAACATTTACTACATCTTGCATCATTAAAATTATATGTAAATGAAACCACTCAAAGTGAATGTAAAAAAGCCAGAACGAGTTCACGTATAGCGAATGACCGCATTTTACTAGCGATAAAAATTATGCCCTATCATGTTACGTTGATAATGCGCGGTAAGCTTCCTTGAAATCTATTTCTATACAACCTTCCTTATTCCTTATTTCTAAAGACACGTGTGCGAAGATTATATGTATAACATCCCAACGCGGTTATTGAACTGACTAAATTATTTCATCAATTTAATATAAACTCTGAACGCAATAATTTAAAATTTATCACACTTCGTATCGTTATTTTATGCAAATCAATAGAATAGATCATGTTCAAAGCTTATCAAATTTATTTTATAATTTGAAAAAAAATGTTACACCATTTATTGTAAAGTAGACAGTTTAAATGCAAATTTCTAGATAGTTTAAAATTATCCAAGAGTGTTGATTATCAGATCTCTTTATGACATTAACGCAAATTGGTGCATTTATAGGCAACCATTACCTCAGAGTAGACAGGGTGTGATTAACGAAGAAGCGAAAGTCCATGAGCATGTGGAAATATCGGGATAAGAATGTGATAGCAACCTTCTTGGCAGAAATGTAGTATACAACATGTCGGAACAAGCAAGGTTAGCTGCACACGTGATGATAATTTCTCGCCCGCTTGGAGAGAAAAGAAAAACGCAGAAAACAAATGAAAAGCGACAGTGTGAATCCAAACGTAGTAGATGTTTCTGTGCGCTAGTAATATAACAACCTAATTCTGCTTCGAACAAGAAACAAATGTAATATCTAAGCTTGGAGAACTCAAAGAAAACATACATATGTAATAGATTTCGGAATCTCATAAATTTGTCTTTCTGTCATTGCTTAATATTTTATAGCCCGGCGAACAGGCGTCTCATCAGTCGATGCTGTAAGCCGCCGACGGCTCTACGGTTTGACGATGTTCGTAAATTTATCAATATAAATACATTTATGAATAATTCAAGAGTTTTAATTTTATCAGTTGTTTTTATCAAGATTTAGATGCATAGAACTGCGGATCGCAATGTGTTAACATTCGTTTAATTCGTTTATATTTTCTTCCTTTTTCATTTTGTTATCGAAAAAGAGAGGAAGTTTACAGTAACTCAAGAATTAAATCTCTGTTTAATCATACTTAAAAATTAATTATGTAATTAGAAATTAGTAATAATAATTAGTAATAAAATAAACTTAATTATTGTGTTGCTTCGTTCAATAAATGTGATACTAAGTGAAGAATATGAGTCAAGAAGAGTTGACGATGGGTCTATTTTTTTGACCTAACAATTTCTCCTCAAGTCTGTGACGTAATAGAAGTATGCTGACCGTAATTCGATCGTCGTATCCGTTTGCCGTTGTGCTGGCTTCCGGCGCGGACACCGGACATTAACATCCTGAATCCGGTTGTTTTGGTTTCATTCCTGGCGATAATCGGCGCCAGGAACCTGCTGCGGAAGTTTGTAAAAAATCATATCGGAGAAAGAACCCGGATTCTACATATCAATCACGATTCCGTGAAACCTAGAAGTATCGGAATCATGTACGATGGAACGTAGAAAAGTGAACAGTGAAATCCCGCGACAGGACTCTGAGGCTAACGCGAAGTAAATCGATTTTTGCGATTTGATGGTGTAAATGCAACAGGAATGCAGTTAGTAACAATGATATCAACGACAGTCACGTTATGCTAATTCGAGGAAATTCTCCGTTGGCTAATTGTTGCTGTTTGTTAACAAATAATGATGATTGTTGTTTGTAGGTGGCTTGTTGTTTCGCCATAAATTCCTTTCATCGACACCTGTTTGTTGTCGTATCAGTACACTTCCAGTATACCGTTTCGCAAATGAAAAGCTTGCATCTTGACGAAACAATCCTACAAGTATTTGACGCAATTGCTATCGGCGAGCGCCTATGGTCAAGGATTCGCGCGAAGCGCTTCGGCCTCGAATGCCTTTCCAAATAATTGTGAAACATTCATAATTAATCATCTACAGCAAATGAATAAATCATTACGACTGTTGCTGTGCGCGCGGCCAACAGGAAACGCGGTCGAGAAACCGCGAATTTAATTTCCCGCAGCGCGAGAACTAAAATGAGTAAGATGCCCTTTGAGCCGCGCGGACCGTCCATGGCAGTCGTCACGGTGCTGACCGCTATAGCAAGCGTTTCATTTGAAGTCCATTAATGGCATTTATCTCCGTTAATCACGTCAGCAAGGAGCGATATCGCCTTGAGTCGGACGAAGAGAAAGTACTGAAATCGGCCGTCTCACTGTTTGCGAACCGATCCGACCAATTACAATAATTCGGAACAACAAACTGCAAACAAAAGTCTGTACCTGATTGCGTTGATGTTGCCTGTCAAAGATTATATTAACCCAAACGAAGTTTTAATAATTAGTAACGCTTGTGCTCCAAGTTATTTTTTAATTTCAATGACATTAATAAAATTTTGACGTAGAGTTTCGGCGTTGTATACGTGTATAAATGAACGATAAAAGAAGACGAGCTTTAATTGTTGTTAGATCATAATTCATTTTAAAGCTTTTGTTTAATTGTCAGGATTTGCTTGCAGAATCAGTTTAATCGCGAAAAATTGGACAACAATAACGGAAATACGCCGCACGAAAACAATCGCTTTCAAAAATTTGCTTTAGATCGCAAACTTTTTGTTTGTTTTTCCAGTGGAAAAATTTCCGAAATTCCTGAAGCGTCTGCGTAACATATAAAAATTTTTTAGATTCGTATTTCAACAAATATATCCTTGACGTCAAAGAGATAACCCACGTGCGATAGATTCATTTGAAAATAACTAGCGCAAACGGTTTGGACCAAACGGCATTTGATTTCGAGACGAAATACGAGAATGTCGGTGGTTCAAATGCTATGGAGGCGCCCGACCGGCGGCGGTATTGATCCGGCGGGGGTCACCTTTGCCCTACCTCGACACGAGACCAACCTCCAAATCCACCCCTGCCCTGCCCTTCAAACCCCCACACCACGCGAGTCTTCACGACCGACAGGCGCTACCACGAACTCCTTCTATAAAATAGACCATCGAAAATATCCTGGCAAAAATTCAAGTTGGCTGCAGTTCTCTCCTATGCGATGATAAGAAAATCCTTTAGAAATGCCGAATTAACCGCAAGTGTATGAAGCGCAAATTCACTTGAGAGCACATCGACTTGGGCGCTATAAAACATAGCGCTTTTTATTGTTAAGCGAAGTGCTTTTGATATTCAAAATGATAATAAATTTATTCCAAATTGCTCCCGGAATCCATTTATAAAGTGTAACGCGTAAAATCTGTGTGGAGACAATCGACACGCTTAGAAAATAGTTCAATTTGTAGAAATTGCGTCGTACTGTGCATCGTAGATCATTGTAATTTATGTAATACAACTTTTTATTCCAATGTAAAGAGCAGTGCAACATAATATGCTTGTTTGAAACAGAATCTGATAACATTCGTGTTTTTTCAAAATTGCCCCGCGTAAATGCCCTGTGAATATTCCTCTTATTGTGTGCGGCTGCAACTATTGTAAGGTCCGGCAAACATACACGCCTGTACGGTGAATAAATATTTGCCGCGAGCGTGATGACGGAGATGCCGCGTTAATTGTTAATTTACAAATTCTCGCGCGCTCGTTCCGTCGCGGTTGCGTAAATATTTAGCGTGTACGTCAATGTGTATTTCGTTTCATGCAACGTTTAGTTTAACGTTGCGCATCGTAAAATTTTCACGCGCACAACAGTGATTCGTAATGGTTCGGGAGTGTGCTTATAACGATTAATTTGTCGATTAATATTCATTTCAGAAGATTATTTGTTCATAAATATTGATGTATTGCACAATCCGCTTCCTATCGCATTAATCCATCCGGTTTCGCGCCTTGTATTTATACAAGTATAATTTTATACCGTAGAATTGAATAGAAGTACAATATTTGTTTCCGAGGGAAGTCAGAATATATTTGAACAAAACCAGCAAAGAGGCAAGAGGGCTGACTACAAATTTCCGCGGAGACATTTATAATAGTAACTATTATCATTAAGGCTGCTCGAGCATGCTCCGAGCGAACAACAACCTACAGCATCGCCATTTATTAATAAACATATCCGGAAACGCGTCGGCAGCCAGGGAGCATGAATTTAGAGTAATGATAATCATACGTTCGTGTGTGCTGTAAGTGCAATCACCGTTGCGTGGCTCGACGTAATCTTCCGTGATTACGGTGTCGTGCTCAAAGAGACGGGATATTTCGACGATTATCGACGACCCGCAGCGGCGTCCGTAATACAGATTTTTAACGACAACCGAATCCCTCGCGGCGCCCCTTTTTTTCCGGCTGATAGAGCGATCCCGCGGCACGGAAAGTGCGCCGGGAAACGGCAGGATGGATCGACCAAACATCATCGAGGACGAACGTAAATCGCACGATCGTAAATCGCGCGACTGGCTGGTTCATCACGCACGGCACCGCCAGCCATCGACAAACCAGTTGCCAACCGGTACTAATAAACTCTAACGATGTAGATGTCAATTGCGTTCAATGATACTGAAACGATGCGTAATACATCGCATCGTTGCGCGCGAGCGACGATGTATAAAACATATCGCGAAAGTCGATCCAAAAACTTTGTGGTTGTGCTGCTTTGTAAGTATACAAAAAGCTTGTAACTTGGTAAGGAATTTTTCACAAATTTTATTCTAATAACTGTACTTTATAGCTTACTGTTTTATAAAAAATTCTTTGGAAATTTTGGAAGCAAAGAAATCTTTCGAAATTTATTGTCAACAAATTTGCACTGGATTTATCGTGAGCTTTTTTAGCTACTATCCGAAAGTTTCGATTTACAAAAAATTGATAAATATTACTGCTTAGATTGAAAGTTCGTAACGCGATCAACAACTAATAACGGCCATTTGCGCTTAGCAATCGGCTTAGTGCGGCACAGCTGACGACTTTAGTCGGCTGCCAACACCTGTTCGCCAGCTGCGACGATAAAAGTTCGATAGAAGCGTTTACGTTAAACAGGTCTACAGTTTCTCGACAAAATGGAGTCTTTTGATATGTATATACGGGCTTTCCTTGCGAGCCTTCTCCGATATTTTTGCGACGCGACCTTTCAAAGGCTTCGCCCGATGGTGCCTACTACCTGGCGATCCACTGCGAGGAACAATAGCCCGAGATGGTTGTAAATCATATAAATAATAATTGAGCCAGCTGCTTTATTTCGGCCAGTATGAAATGAACTACATAAGACGAACAATCATTTTCTCATACGGGCCTGATAAATGTCCTGCTCATGCAGAGCTATTCGTTTCGATACCATTGAAAAGCAAAAGAAAGCGCTCAGGCGCAAACAATTGTTCTCGCTGTGGTATGTATTGCATTATAAGCAATATTTCGTGTGTGAGATCGACTAAAATCAAGTATATTCAATAAAGAATAATAAATTTTTGCAAATTATTTTATTATCTCGCACAATTCATCCTGCATAAATAAAAAAAAATAAAGATTGTTTACTAATATTTTAATCTTTGCATTTGCTCAAAAAAATATTTATAATACTTAAAATACATTTATAATATTATTATTTATATAGTATTAAATATTATAAAGAATGTACATAAAATATTGAATTAATTTTTGCGGAAGAAAAAAAGCGCGAAAGGATTACGCATGTAATTACAGGCGTAATCCTTTATATGTAATAGCACGAATTTCACATATAAATTTCGTAATATTTATCCGAGATATTCTAGGATTATAAAAATGTACATCCGATAAATTGCACTATTTTAGCAATGTGAGCATCCGACCATTTTGGTCATTGTTTCATCAATGGCTTGCAACCGTGCTTTCATAAGTCTGCTGAAAATCGACCTGGCACGACGCAACGACGAATCATTGCCAATGATAATGGGTTTTTTTTCGTCGCAGCACGAGCAGAGCTGTACGGTTTGTCGATTATTAAAGAGCCACGCCGCGTTCCTAAAATTCCACGTGATGGGCAACACTCGGTTTGGTCGAAGTCAAATATCGGAGTAGCCGCATTGGTGGGTTCTTTTAGTTTGATCTCTCGATGAGATCATTGGATACGCTTGGCAACGCATTTAGGATCGACTTGAGTGGGTCATGCACGAGAACCTCATCTATACTTCGTGTTTAACATCGTGCGGCAGTGGCATGATGTGAATTATTAACACTTGATGATTGTCTTTCGCGATCTTTAAAAATATAAATTATTTTTATTTTTAAAAATAAGAAAATAGGTATTACTATTCTGAGAGATTCGAAAATTTTCGGATCGATGTCTTCTTATTTTGGACTTGATATCTTTTTTGTCTCATAGTTTTTTGCACACGGCGCAATCGATTATAAGCTAT